ATAGGCGCTGAGCCTTCTCCAGAAACTTTCTGGCTTTGTCCAGATGATTATTACCGATCGCATTTAATGCTATTTTAATGCAACGTTCCGCTTCGTCCTTGTTTGAGTCCATCGCGACACAGCGGAAATGTTTACTTGTCCCGAGACGCAAAGAAATGACGTCGACTCACCTTTGGTCTGACAAAATAGACGTAACAAAACGTCGTTTAGTCTATGCTGAAGTGTTTTTAAGTTAGATAATAAAAATAAATAAATTAACGCATGAATTAATTTATTACATTAATAAATAAAGCCTTTTTTCACGAAATTCTAGCTGACACAATATCAAGTGTGATAAAAACATCAAAATAAGTGTTCATAAGTGCTTTAGATTGAATTATGTGCACTTTGGAGTTAAGGGTAATCAAATTAGCTGCAGCAAAATGAACTATCAAAATAACTGTTGAAATGACAATGGAGTTTGTAATGAAAAGTTTTTAAAAAGGACAAAAGGTTTCGCCACTGATGCCTGTCACATTTTTTTCATCTTTTAATAAGGTGAATGTGGATATTTTTTATTTTTTATTTTTTGCAGTGTTTTACAAGAAACAGATAAATGGAGCGTCTGTGTCAACACTTATTTGAAAAAATCTTATAGGCCTAGGCGAATTTTAAAGGAAAATATGTAATATATTCAAATATACATTGGACTATTTATATTTATTTCTAGAGAATTGTTGATCATAAATTAGAGTTAAAGTCTCTTTAATTTAATAACGTAAGACAATTTTATGAGGAGTAACACGTATACTCACCGTTTACACTCCAGTCCTGCATGTGGCGTTAAAAGCGCAAAAAGGTGGCTTTCAAACAAGAAGTTGGTGTGAAACAGGAGGGAAGAGATAAATAGAATATAATATGTAAATAGAATAAGAACCGGGCACAGTTTTTTAAGTGAAACTCTTTTTAAGATGGGGAAACATCTTACTGGTTTATGTAGTTGGTGTGATACTGTAGAAACGATGGAACATGTTTTTATTAGTTGTAGAAAATATGCAAATCAAAGAAGATTATTAAAAACGGAATTAGGTTTTAGTAGGGAATTGAAATTTAAGAATGTGGTTGATCAGTTAAAGAGTATTGAGGGGAAAAAGAAGATTTTTCGTTTTATTAAATAATACTGGGATCATTATGAGAATTTGAGGTATAGATATTAGGATCCAATAGATGGCAGTAGTGCAACAATAATGGATGCAAGCTGCCGTTAAAACCTAAAGAAGAAGAAGTTGGTGTGGATCTGAAGCATGTTTTTCCGAGCTCCTGAAAGTCTGATGCAGTTCTTATTGTGAGTGTTGTACTTTCAATGTTTGATAGTCTCGCACTTTTCTCGGAAACATGCATTTAACCGCGAAATGCTGCAGGTCGGTCATGGCTGTCAGACCAAATATATTTTATCCGAGGCGGACCTGCGTGCTGTTTTCAACTAGCGTTAGTCCGGCTGACGGAGGGAGAGCGGGGTCGGGGTCACAGAAACGTCGGAAAAAAAGGCAGAAGAAAGCGGCTTGGACCGGCGACCTGTCCTGGGAGGAGAGGCTGGCCGATGCGGTCACCCCGCTCTGGAGGCTGAGCTATGAGGAGCAGCTGGAGCTCAAGCAGAACAATCAGCGGAAGATCCTGTCTGAACTCTCAGGATCTCTTTCAGCTGACCTCAGGTCAGGTTTACCAGCACCTGCCTCAGCTAAACTCAACTTCACTGTCCTGCCTGTTCTGCCCTCCCCAGTCAGGGATGGCTACCGCAACAAATCCACGTTTTCTGTCAACAGAGGAGTGGATGGGAATCCAAAAACGGTTGGATTTTACCTAGGAACGGCCAGTCGGGGAAACATCGTCTGTGTGAACGGAGATCACCTACTCAACATGCCGGAGAAGCACACACTAGTAGCCAGGTGTTACCAGGACTTCATCCGCCAATCCTCTCTGGAGCCCTGCCTGCTGTTTCACACCGGGGGTCACTGGAGAGAGGTCACGGTGAGGACCAATGCGCAGGGACACACCATGGCTATAGTGTATTTCCACCCACAGATGATGACCGCAGAGGAAGTGGCTGTTCATAAGGCTGAGCTGGTGGAGTATTTCTCAAGGGGTCCTGGATCGGTCTGTCAGCTAGACTCCCTGTTCTTCCAGGAAAGCACCATGACTCGCTGCACGCATGAGGAATCCCCCTACCAGCTGCTGCACGGTCAGCCATATTTGCATGAGGAGGTGAGATATTCTGGATTTACCCGGAATCTGGAAGTTTACTGCTCAGACTCTGCAGTTCCTTGCAGAAGTATTCATAACCCTTGAACTTTCCACATATTGGCACGTTTACAACACCACACTAAAACATGTTTTAATGGGAGTTTATGTATGTTTCACATAATGGTGAAGTGATGGGAAAACAACTCCTGGTCAAACTGTTATAGAGAAGGAAATACCTGAGAAAATCACTGAATAAGTTTTCCTGACCAGCCTGAATATGTACATGATGCAGAATACTCGGATTTTCTTATCCCTTAAAACTTAAATATGTACGGTAATTTCTTTAACTTTGTCATTTTGCAAAGTTGTAGGAAATGCTCAAGGCACAAAATTAAATATGATTTTTATTATTAAATTAAGTACAAGATGATTGTGCTTCAACCACAAACGGACATCATCTCATCTTCTCGTGACATCGGCATCCTTGCTAGATGATTTGGCAGGTGTCTATACTGTATAACCGATTACACACACTGGTGGACTTTGAACTGGGCAATAAATCCAGTTTAGGGAACAGAAAGTTCTTATAACAGGTTTCAAAATTCAACAATGTCTGCTGCAGAAAACTTAAGTCTCTGTACGTTTAGATTTCAGGTCGGTTTTTCACTCAAAGGTTCTCTTATACTTATTAAACACCGAAGAGAACGTATGTCCGATCTGACGTGTCTCTGCTCTTGTGTGACTTTTGCAGGTCCTGGGCTTCAAGTTCCGCATATCTGCCGATGCTTTCTTCCAGGTGAACCAGGCAGCTGCTCAGGTGCTGTATAACACGGTCAGAGACCTTTGTGTCCCAGGAGCAGCGCAGTCAAAAACAGGAGGCACTCTGCTCGACGTGTGCTGCGGCACAGGCGCCATCGGCATCATCTCTTCTCCCAGAGTGGACAGGGTCATCGGCGTCGAGATCGTAGAGCAGGCGGTGAGAGATGCCGCGCACAACGCCGCTCTCAATGACGTGGAAAACTGCGAGTTTCTCCCCGGTAAAGCAGAGGTGGTACTCCCTGCTCTCATGTCTCGGTTGAGCTCTGCACCCGGAGCCCTTACCGCCGTGGTGAATCCGTCTCGAGCGGGCCTCCATCCCAAAGTAGTCAGAGCGCTGAGAAACCAAGCGGCTATCCGCAGACTGGTCTATGTTTCCTGCAAGCCGGACGGAGAGGCGATGAGGAACTTCAAGGAGCTTTGCTGTGCTCCTGATCAAGAAAAGAAGCTCACAGGAGAAGCTTTTTCTCCCACTCTGGCTGTCCCTGTGGACATGTTCCCACATACTCCTCACTGTGAACTGGTGCTGCTGTTTGAGAGGTAGCGCGTGTCATTTGTTCGTCTAGTGTTTCTTATTAATTTATTGCTACATCATTTTAATATGTATGTTTTCAGAATTCTGTGGCAATATAAAGATGCTTTAAATTATTATGTTTTTAAATTAAGACATAATCACGTTTGCTCATTGATTTGGTTTTATCGCATATGTAAGCAAAGACAAGTACGGTGGATTTCCTCCTTTTTATTTCCAGCCCCGAGCTTCAAACCTGGTAGATATCAAATATAAATGAATGTATTGTTTAGGTTTTTCATCTCATATTTGTAATATAACTTGCAATATTAATATTCATGTTGTCTCAGCTAATACTCATGTTAAAAACAGGTGAGTTTTTATCCTCGATTCAAAGTGTTTCAGCTGTTTAGCAGTTTTCTGGAAGTTTGTTCCAGAATTGTGGTTAATAGAAACTGAATGCTGCTTCTCCGTACTTGGTTACGCTCATGGAACCAACAGTAATGCATTTAACAAATCTTAAAGCTGGTATAGCTCTTAGTGTCTTGTTTTTCTTTAGCCTCACTAATGCAGCATTAGCAGCGAATGTGTAATAAAAGGAATGAAAAGGCATTAAATCCTGCTTGTCTGCTTCAGACAGGCAGTACCCACATTTATACAACAGAGGGTGCCATTACCTCTTCAGATTCTTTCAGTCACAAGACTCAAATCATCTGATTCATGATTATGAGCTCATCCTACTTACTCCAGTTCACGTAAGGTCAGAACAAGCAGGGTCCAGTAGGAGGGCAAGACGTGTTCTCCAGAGGTTACCTTCGTTTATCTGAGGTCATGTTTCTGGGCTAAAGTTGCCTTGTTTTGCTGGATGAACGTTTTCAGTGTCTGCATATGGAAAAAAGGACAAGGAAAGGGACTTTTTGAAGTTTGTATAAGTCCAGGCCTACAGAACCTTTGTAAGGTTTAGCATTTAAGGATGTATTTCTTTGCATTTTTTAAAGTTGCATCATGCAAGGCAATTTTTTTTATTTTTTATTTTTTTTATTTTTTTTTTTTGCTTTTTCTTTTGGTTGCAAAGTTTACACAAACTATTTTAAGTTCAACTGGAAGGTAAAGCGAATGGAACCAAAATAACATTTTCCACATTCCCCATGTATCCCAGCAAAACATTTCTGAACTTTATATTTGGAGAAAAAAAAAAAAGGAAAATTGATCTGTGAATAGAGATGAAATGCACAATTATAATATCATGCTATCCAAAAACAGAACTCATTGGTGGGTGACATCATGGTGCAAAATGGAAGACCTTTGTTTGCAACCTCTTGCAATGATTAATCCTGACAACATCAGACTGAGATGCTCCAGAAGATTGGGTAAGAGCTCCGGGTTACGTAAAGATTTAGTTGGAGGAAAAAAAAAAAAAAAGTTAAACATTGGTGGAGCAAACAGCCAATAGAATGCTTATACCTGCAGCAGGATGTTGCTTTAAAACCACCTCAGGGCAGGAAGAGTGTTGCATCTCTTAGTGTTGCCTACATCTGACCTGGTGCAAGAACAACAAACGGTAAGAAGTTTCTCCAATCGCAATCATGTTAACAGCAATTTGCATTGCTTTAGTAGTTGCTCTGAAAATATGCATCTTGTCAATGAACTCGAGTCTGAATGTTTGTTCTCTCTGTCGCTCATTATCGTCTAACCATTCTGGAAATAAAAAAAAAAAGGTAATGTTGGGGAAATCTTAAATTTTAATTTACTGATTGAAACACTGAATGTAGAGGCGTTCAGTGTTTCATTGTGGCTTCATATTCCTTTTTCTTTAGCAGTGGAGTGAATGTGCGTCGAGGCCATTGCGGTTAAATGCAATACTTAAGTCTCCTGGTCAACTCGACGACTCTGTTACAAATCTTATCTGGCCTTGACCAGTTTATGGTAAAATTATGGGCATTTCTCTTCTGGATTATGGCTGCAATAGCACCTTCTGGAACATTTAGAAGCTTAGAAAAGCAGCTGTAATGTTGTCATCAGTATGTTTCTCAACATTTACTGTTTTTTTTTCTTTTGCGAATGTCTCTTCCTGTTAATATTAAATCAGATGTTATTGGTTAGCATACACTAGTGGGAGAGCTTTCTAGTTGCTGACAGATTCCAGCTGATTTCTTGGCTTTTTTGAATGTCTTTTTTTTTTTTCAGGCATTTCAATATTTACTCCCTGTTCCATCACATCATAACAGATAACTTCATACATGGACTAATTTGTGTCTATTCTATTTATGGACTGCTTTAGTTTTCACATCTATCTAGTGCAGTGTTTCTCAATTCCGGTCCTCAGGCCCCCCCTGCCCTGCTTGTTTTAGGTGTTTCCCTTCTGCCACACACCTGGAATGAATATTTTGGTAATTAACAGGCTTCTGCAGGACTTGATGGTCATGCAATCATTTGAATCAGCTGTTCTGGCATAGAGGCACATCTAAAACATGCAGAGCAGGGGGCGGTGAGGACCGGAATTGAGAAGCACTGATCTAGTGTGAATTCCAATGGAAATGTTATATTTACTGGGGAAAAACATTGACATGTACAGTGCTTGTTTTCCATTTTGTGTTGATCTTCAGGAAAACGTCCTGTTTAAGTAAAACAGATGATCTCCATAAGACAAGGGGGAGGGAAAAAAAACGACAAAATTTTAAAAGATCAAGCCATAAATTTATTGAATAAATGTGACCCACTTCTTATTAGCCACCCTTCTGTATGGGGGGAAAAACAAGAGAACGTAACAGGTGGGAGGATGGTCGACTCTACGCCAATCTCCATCATTTTTACACTTCCTGGTTTGATGTGCCAGTAAGAATTATATATTTCCTGAGTTGAGAGATATAACTAGTGCAAAAAAAAAAAAATTACAAAAATATAAGGAGAGAGTCTATTTTTGAATCATAAAAAAAAAAAAAAACCCACAAAAATCTCCTTATAAGCGATGGACAAGTCATTTTTAATTAATCAGGCAGAAAAACATTGACTTCAACGAGAAGGTTCCTGTTGACGGCTGGCAGTCCAGCTGCAGCTGCCCGCTGTGGGCGCTGCAGGAGTACATGAGCGCAGCTGCTCGCCGCCGTGCCTTCCTCTCTCTGTCCGCATCACGCTGCGCAGCGCATCAGACGGAATAACACCGTCCCCTTGTTCTGCTCGCGCTGTGCTTCCCCGCTGCAGAAACATGACCGAAACCAGGATTCATCGCGCCGACAAGCAGCAGAACGGGGATGCCATGGCGGAGACGTCGACCGTGGACGACGTTTTTGACGACACCTACAGAGAGAAAGAGGGGAAGAAGCCGCCCAGGATCCTGGTGTGGAGGAACATCATCCTGATGGGTTTCCTGCATGTCGGAGCGCTTTATGGACTGGTTCTAATCCCTTCCGCGTCGTGGTTAACTCTTGGATGGAGTGAGTATTTGCTGATTTCTGTCTGAATAGAATGCGCTGATGCTGTGTGAGCACTGCGAACCACAGAGCACACTGCCTGAAGGGATCAAGCCTGTGGGAATAATGGAGAATGAGTCACTCTGGCCTAATTTTAATGAGAGGGCCTGCATGAAGGTTTTCAACCCACTGATGATTTATATGGCATCCATTTCTATAATCAATTTCATTTTGAGTCAAATGGTAAATTGAGTAAATAAAGCTAATATAATCTATTTCCAAATATAAGGGCAATCAGCTCTACACCTCATGATGTTGCAGCTAGTTGTGTTGTTTTTGCAGGGGCGTCTTTGGAAAGTTTTCCAAGGTGTGACCAAATAATTTAGGCCTGACACACCTAAACCAAAAGCCAGAACTGATTTTCTGGACTTTAATAATGCTGTTATGGGGAGAGTTAGAAATGGGTGATAGAAATTGGTGTCCGATGCAGGACATTAAAGTGAAAAAGGAATAAAGGTTGCAACCGATTGAACCGTACTCTCTCCTGTCTTACATTAATTTGAATAAATAATATCTATACGGAAGACTATGGTTGGATAGATCTTTGTGATTGTTTTGAATGAATTTTGACTTGGTGCATAGAAACTAAGCTGAATCGTTGTAGATTATTGGAGGCCTAACCAAAACCATTCAGGATCCATTTTGGGCCCCTAGGAAGTGGACTCTCTCCTTTGCTTGAGCCTGTTCCCTTTTTGCTCGACTCAGTTGTGAGACACAGTTTTCCTAAGGATAACTTTCATTTGTAGCACGCCTCTGGATCAGTAACAGACCTTCAGAACAATACATGCAGACATCTTTGAGTCTGACAGATGAACTACGCATTCTATCAATAACATGTAGGTCTGGACTTTAACTGGGGCATTCCAGAACGTCTTTCTCAGATTCTCAAATGGTTGTAGGTTTGAATGATCTAAACCAGTTTGTTGTCGATCTGACTGTGTGTGGGGTCGAGGTCCTGCTGGAAGGTGCACCACCGTCCCAGTCTAAAGTGTTTTTCTGCAGCCTGTAGCATTTTTTCCCCCTAAGATTATACTGTTTTTAAACATACTCTATTCAACTCTGGAAAGCTTCCCTATCTCTTGTGAAGAAGCATCGACACAGCACTGACAGTGGGGATTGTATGTTTCCTTCCTTTGTAGCATACACCCATGACCATGAAGCAGCACTGGATAACCACACACTCTCACCTGCGTGACTGACCAACCAATGGTATTCGCACCATTTATTTGGATGAATTTTGTTCAGTTTTCAGCACACTTGCCTGCAAAACAAGTTTCCATAATGCTAGAGACTGTGATGCATTTCAGATTAATCTGTGGCTTTTGGGTGAAGACACCAAATCTGCATCTAATTGTCTTCCTCATTTGAGTCTCATTTGAGTTTTGTTTCAAAACTCAAAATATATTCAAATCTTAAAGATTCCCTTCACATTTTCTCTAGCAGTCCAATCCCCATGCTTCTGGGACGTCTCGAATTATAATTATTTTAATTTCTGTCGTCCAAACAGTTTGCTGATTAATTTGACCTATATATGTGGACTGTTGTGGCGTGACTCAAGTCCCCCAACAATCTCTGCTCTGTTTCTACTCTAGCTCTGCATTTTTTTTTGCCGTCTTTTCCATATTATTTCACAGGAGAAGACAAAGCACAATCACTTCCACTGAACACATCCCATTGTGAGGCTCATGGCAGAATGCTCGTTGCCAGTCAGCCCCCAGATCTCAGATCCTGGCTAGTCCCGTCTAGGCCTCACAGAGACATGCATTCACTAGTTTTTCCAACAGCCAAAAGTGTGAGGGCCGACCTGCACACTCCCAGTGTTTCTCTAAAGAAGCAGAGGGTTATGAAAAAGAACATGGTAGCCTAGTGAGTCAGCTCTCATGGGTGTAAAAATTCATCTCAATGTGGCGCAGACAGTTTCCCTGTAAGATACCTCTCTCTTTCTTCCAGCTGCCGTGTGCTACTTGATAAGTGCTCTTGGTGTGACTGCTGGTGCACACAGATTGTGGAGCCACAGGTCCTATAAGGCTTCTGTTCCCCTGCGAGTCTTCCTCGCTCTTGGCAACTCCATGGCATTTCAGGTAAAACAAGCAAACATGTAAATATAGAACATTCAACCGTAGATGCAAGTCTTTGCAAAATACTTTTTTGTTTTTACCTTTTAGATCTTTTCACATTTGCCAAGTTACAACTTCAATGTATTTGAATGGAACGATGTGTGACAGAGCAAAACAAATAAGAGTATAATTGTGAAGTGTCAAATTTCTCTTGATCTAGAGACTGACTGTGTTATAAATTTTTTTAAAAAAAAAAAAAAAAAAAAAAGCTCAGGCTATATCAAAGAAGATATGGATAAGTCTTTCTCAGATTCTCAAATGGTTGTATGTTTGAACTTTGAATCAACCGTTCCAGGAGCTGGCTGTGCTTTTGCACTAAACCATCCCGTTGACTATTTTTAGTTTTTCCTCCCTGCTGGAAGGTGACCCTCGACCTTCTGCTGCTCCTAACAGGTTTTGTTCCATGATTGCTCTGTATTTAGCTCCGTTAATATTCCCATCAACTCTGCTGAAGAAAACCATTTCAATGCCTGCACTGCCGTTTTTCATGATGAGGGAGCTTTTTGTTCAACAAAGTCAGTTTTTCATCTCGTATAACAATTTGCATGTAGGCCAAACAGGTTTGTTCTTTTCTGTCCAAAACACTTTCTTCCATATTTTTTTGCTGTGTCCCATACATGGCTTGTGGCAAACCCTTCACAGGACTTCTTGTAACCTTTGTTCGACACTATATTCTTCTCGCCACTCCACTCAATCAAGGCCTACTTTATGGAGTGCACAACTAAGACCGACTTGCCGACAGTTTTTCAATTTCTTCAGCTTCTCCAGAGTTAAAATGATTAATGCACTCCTTGTGCTGCCTATTTGTTAAGGTGGACAGCCATAACTTGGTAAGTTTGTATAATTGTGTTTGATGACAGTTTGAACAGTTCGGACTCGTCTTCTTCATCCGTGACCTCTCTGTGCTCCTTGGTCTTTAAAAAGCCGTTTGACCTTCAACACTGTCTAAACAACCACTGGCGCATTTTATTTATACTGAACTGAAATTACATAAGTGGATTCTGTTTACTAATTAGATGACTTCTGTAGACAAGGGATTATGTTGGAATTTATTTAGGTGCATCAGAGCAAGTGGAGCTGAAGACAACTGTGGGCGTCACTTTTGCGTTTCCTTTTCTCATTTCCTTCACAATTATGACCTACTTTGTGTTGGTATGTCACATAAAATTTCAATAAAATACGTTCAGGTGAGCATTTAGAAAATGCAATAAAAAGATCAAGGGGTGTGAATAGTTTTACAAGGTGCTATGCGATTTAACTCGTCTGCCATAAAAAAAATGTGCTGAAACAGCTTTATCATGAAGGGAAAAGCCTGTGGTTTTCTAAGCGTGTAGTGTTATCCATGGAAGGATACTGTATTTGTAGCCTGAATATTTTAATATATGCGTAGACCCTCATGAATCTGGTGGTGTGAGACCTCTGTGTGTATCTGTCAATGATTTTCAAAGTCACTTTTTTTTTTTTCCCCTCAATGTAAAGAATGACATATATGAGTGGGCCAGGGACCACCGTGTCCACCACAAGTACTCAGAAACGGATGCAGACCCTCACAACGCCAAGCGGGGCTTCTTCTTCTCCCACATCGGCTGGCTGCTGGTTCGCAAACATCCCGACGTCCTCGAAAAGGGACGGAAGCTGGAGCTGGGAGACCTGAGGGCGGACAGAGTGGTGATGTTCCAGAGAAGGTGAGGAAAAGTTCAACTGTTGTGTTGCGACATGCAGTCCCCCTGCCAGCAGGAGGCAATACTTGGCAATGCTTTTAATCCACTGCAACTGTTAGCAATAAAGATGTATCGTACATTTATGCAATGCAGTATGGGTTACGGATGATGCTGTAATTCATGTGACAACTCTTTGTCTGGCTAAAGTGACCAATGTGATAATAGTGTGACTATGACAACAATGTTTCCACTGACTGGACATTTTGTCCTCATCCTTGGTCAGTTGGAAGCAATCCCAGACTTTCAGTAGTTTTTCAGGAATAGCATAGTAGCATAAATGTTGTTTCAGGCACTGTCTCTGGACTAGTCTTGCAGTAGATGCTTTTGTAGGCATATAACTTTTTTATGCTCTTATGATACTTATTAGCTTCACATTGTTCCACATTTGCATTTTTTCCCCCTGCTTATGTTGACACTTTGTGACTTTTGACATTATCTCTTTGCTCTCCTTTAGGCACTACAAGCTGTCTGTCGTTCTGCTCTGCTTCCTTTTCCCCACGTTGGTGCCCTGGTACTTCTGGGGCGAATCCCTGGCTGTGGCTTATTTTGTCCCTGGGCTTCTGAGGTACACTGTGGTGCTCAACGCAACCTGGCTGGTGAACAGCGCTGCACACATGTGGGGCAACAGACCATATGACAAGACTATTAATCCAAGGGAAAATCCATTTGTGGCCCTTAGTGCCATAGGTGAGCATTCATTAATTATTTTTAGCTTTTCAGTAATGATTTTGTGTCTTGATGCGGCTGAAGGTTAACACTCTTGGGTTGTCTTTCAAAGTCACGCAGGCTGGGGCTCTGCCAGAAGCGTTTGCATGTTGTCATTTGTAAAAGCAGAAGTCTGTAAGTTTTTCTTTTCAGCTGCCGCTGAACCAGCTATTGAGCTCAAATGCGCAGGAATCTTCCTAGAGAATTTATTAATAAAAAAGACTTAAACCCCTTTTCAATTGAAAAGTCCTTTGTATCAGGATTTTTTTGACTCATAAGATATTTACATTTGAAGGAAAGACATTGTCTATGGTGAATCTGCATTCGAAAAAGAAAAGCATGAAGATGTTTCAGTAGTCCAATCAGACTAAACCTCAACCTGAGTGAAATGCTGTGATGTGACCTTCGCAGTGTTGTGCAGAAACAAAAGTTAGCAAGCCTCAATGAACTGAACCAACAGACAAAATCCCTCCACAACAATGTGAAAGACCAATAAAGTCAGCAGTTTTTGCTGCTAAGAGTGGTTCTGCAAGCTAGTTAATGGGTTTTTACACAGCTCTTCCATTTTGTCCTCATCTGCCCTTATCAATAACACCAGTGTAGTGGGCTGTGCATTTCTGTACATTTGACATTTGTAAAACTTGGTAAAGACCAGATTGTTTTTTTTTTTGTTGTTTTTTTTTTTACTTTGTCCTAAAATGTAAAAACCTTGGATTTACTTGGGGTATATTTTTATTATAGATTTCTTAAAAATAAAAGCTAGAAGCTCCTGCATCACAACGACAAACTAAAGTGAGCACAATGTGATGATGAGGGACAAAGGGACGGCAGAAGCACTAATTGAAATATTTCTATGCAGTTAATGACTGCATTAACTGCATAGATCCTATGCAGGATCATTATCCACAAAAGTATTTTCACTTCTGACAGAGTTACCAAGTCAACAAAGTGACCATCTGACTTCACATTTATCTCCCGTCACGCTGGAGGAATCTTGGCTGGGAGGGTCACAGATTAACTCTGAGATGGTCTAAATCTGATATAATATAGGAAATTAGATTTGGGAGGCTTGTGAACATCGTTATAAGACAATCCACCATTTTTGGATTTCCAGATTCTAACTTAATTCTTTGAATTGCTTCTAATCATATGTCACATGGTGTGTGTTACCCTTTTTTATTGTTTTATTTATTTTTTACAAATAAATTACATTGAGAAATGGATTTTCATTCTTGTTGACCCCATTTTAACCTAAATTCTGTGCTAATAGACAATAATTCATACAACAAATTAGCTGACTCAGGAGACAATAGACCATTAGAAGCCGGAAAATCTATCCTCTGTTTTTAAAATCCTTCATTTGGATTATGCTGCACAGCTTCAGGTCCTTTTCTTTAAGTTTCTTGCTGGTGGAAGAGTCGTTGTACAAAAAGGCCTTTTTCCAAGTTCCTCACCGACTGTGGGGAGCACATCCTTTAGGTAATGCACAGGAAACTGGATACAGTGGCAGTAAACCAATTAGCTGAATGATGGCCCATTCTGAAACCTCTGGCATCAAATTTCATCGTCCACAGCGATAAAAGATTGAGACATTACATGACATCATTTGTGTTTTCTCCCAGGCGAGGGCTTCCACAACTACCATCACACGTTCCCCTTCGACTACGCTACGAGCGAGTTCGGCTGCAAGATCAACATCACCACCGCCTTCATCAACCTCATGTGCTTCTTGGGTCTGGCCAGAGACCGCAAGAGGGTTTCCGGAGACATGATCGCCGCTCGCATTCAGCGAACAGGTGACGGCAGCCACAAAAGTGGCTGAGTACGAGGGCGAAGCCGCGCTAGAAACTCTGAGTGAGCCGACACGACGGACCGAGGCAGAACGTAGCAACGAGTGCAGCAGCGATTTCACTGGTGGGGTGGCGATTACCATGCTTCTTTGTGAGACTAATATCGGCTTCAAAGAGTTGTTTCCATTAAAAGTTGTGAACCTCTTTTAAGTTTTGAAGTGTCTTCACCAAGTGTTTTTTGCAACTAGTAGAGATTTGACTACGTGTGCAAAACAGCTTTTTCATTATAATATTAAAGTGTCATTAAGAGAGTGGATGTATTATTATTATTTTTTTGGATCAGATGAAAAATGGCATCAACAAAAATATATAAATATAAAATGTGTGTAAGTTATGTCTAGAGGCAGTAATTAATTACAGACTGGTTTTCTGCACATTATATTTCTACATTTACTTGCTGGTTATTAATTGTCTTTGGCACTTTGGAAGCTTTATGGTTTTTCTGCAAGCAAGACTGAAGTCACTTTGCTTTTAGTCCGTGGTGCTTTGGTGCGCCCGAGAAAATGTGGATTTTTAGCCTGATATTTATATGTTTTTTTTTTTTTTCCCCCGCTTATTTTTAATTTACTTTTGGCGATTTAGTCCGACTAAAACATAGGCTGGCTTGTTGAAAATTAAAGTCAGCTCAGTCAGGCCTCCATTTGGCTGTTGCTTACTGTGGCCATAGAAGAAGAGCGACCATAGTACCACATGGGGATGCTTTGACATCCGTAGTGTCAGTTTTTCTTCTCATAAAGGAATAAGTTATCCGACGCGACTCAGTTTTTTGCTCCCGGTTAGATAAAACGCCACATCAGACTACGTATTTAACTCTACCCTGAGAAAATACTATTTCAGTTATTATTGTTCTCCATCTCGGTAAAATATTCCAATGAGACATGGATGAGATGATTTTTTTTTTTTTCTCATATGTTAGAGTACGTAAATGTTTGGCCCAAATGCCTTATGATGGTTGTGCACCTCCTGAAAACTTATAGTGAATTATACAAATAAAGGAGGAATAATTACATGTTTGGTTTCTTTAAGGTTTTATTCTGCAATTATAGCCCCTGTCAGCATTGTTTGTTTAAAGTGATAGACAACGAATAATCAAAAATGATCTATTTAGACTTTTCTCTCACCAAACAAGAATTTGCCTGAAATACAAATAAAACTTTTTATGACATTTTTGAAAGTACCATTGTAATATTTGTCAAATTTTTCTCTATAACAAAGCAACACTTGTATTGTGTTGGGAAATGGCACTTTTATTTCAAATGAATGTTTTGTATCTACTGTATGTAAAATAAATAAACCAAACTTTTATGCAACAAGGTTGTACTTGTTTTTTTAAATATTCTGAACAGGAAAAATATTTATACATCCACTCCATTTCTCAGAAGACACAGATTGAAAGTGAGTATTTAAAGCACCTGGATTCCTGCATGATGGAGATGACAGCAGAAGCTCAAGCGCAAGATGAAAGAGAGTGAGGAAGTGTGTGTGAGGACAGGGACGGCAGCTTCACACACAGATATTGAAGGGCATACAAAAAAAAAAGCATCCCATCACCTGACCCACATGTTCAATAATTATAATGAATATTTGTTTAAAAACTCATTCAGGTGTGCTCAATTGTCCATAAATTAAGGTAACCATTTCTCAGTGTGGGAGGTGAGGGAGTTTGAATCTGCTTGTCACCTTGCATCAGCTCTGTTTGAGTACTCTCCGGCAACCAAATCCTCTCCAGTTCTGGGTATTTAAGCCTGATTTGCGCAGAGGTGGAAGATAATTCCCCTGCTGGGGTCAGCAAAGAGGCTTTGGTGTTTGCTATCAAGACTGTCCAAACATCTGAAGAATTTTTGATCTTGCTCCATTTGCTTTGGGACTTTCTGGCAAGTGGGCAGTTCTGCACAGTCCATCCTCCCTGTGGTGTGAGAAAACAGCCCAGCCTGTTTGCTTTTTGCAACATTTTGGTCTGCCCCTTTGTGTTCGAGTCGCCGTGAACGGCGGCCATCAGCCTGAGTCTCGTCCAAATCCACTGTAAGTGGAGTCACCGCTGCTGACCTCTGTCACCCCGACAGTGACATCAACCCCTCAGCTCATTGGCTGCTGAATGTCAGGCCACTCTTTTCATGCCATGCAATACCACTGACAATTCCCTCTGGCAGACAGTTTCAGAGGGATAGTGGTGAATTTGTGTAAGAAGGCTTGTCGGCTAATACCTGTCGATGTTTATCTTGGTGAGGCCTCTAAATCACAGCAGAATATGAACTGCAGTTTTACAATATAGCTGTAAAATAGAGTCCTGCTACTACCACTAAAAATAATAAACTCAGGCCTTCGAGAAGGTCCTGAGTTTAAATTCTGGTGTGAGATTTTTCTACATGGAGTTTTTATCTTCTCCCTGTGCGTGCAAGGGCTCACTCTGGATCCTCCCGCAGTACAAAAATGTGACTGTTAGGTTAGTTGGTCTGCATAAATTGTACTTTGGTGCGAGTGTGTGCGTTGTTGTCTGTCCCGTGTGTCTCTATGTTGCCCTGTGATTGACTGGCAACGTGTCCGGCATGTACCCTGCCTCTCACCCAGTAACCTCTGGAAATAGGCACCAGCTCCCCTTACAGCCCTGCAAGCACAAGCATGTTTAGATAATGGATGAATGGATACACGATTATTATTGTTCCATTCATCCAGGGGTTTGAGCGGGGCTGGTGCTTATCTCCTGTGGTCATCAGGACCGGTCATCTGTCCATCACAGAGCAAATAAGAACAATTATAATCAAAGTCATGTTGTTGATTATTTATTCAGTAGAGGGGAAATTTTTTTATTTTTAATTTTTATTTTTGCTAAAAATACCAGTGCAAAAGTAAGTGGCATCCCTAAGAATTCACACAGAATAAGCGTGTTTTCTTAAATTGTGTAGAGTAGTCTGTAAACTTTTACTGGTAACATATGTCTTCTCTTTTTCCAGAGTGTAAATATGATGTGACACAGAGGCGTTTTGTTTTATCTATTCTTCAAAATGGAAAAGAGAAAAGATCAATAGATCCTTCCCTAAACTTTGTCCTTATCCAAGGTCAGTGAATTCAACATTTTTAAACATCTGGAACTGTGGCAGAGAAGACTATAGTGAGGATCCGCGTTTAATAAGAATCAAATATTCTTACTTGTTTACTGTTTGTTTTCTTTTTTTGTTCACTTATGTTAAAGTACAAATATGAGACTCTGTAAGTAAGACACAAAAAAGAAATGGAAAATAATAAAAACTGAAACTTTATCCAAGAAAATAGATCTTTTTTGAAAATTGCTTGTACTGATTTAATATTAAAGTGAAACTAATGTTGATTTTCAAGAGATAATTTGTTAGCTATCCTATCAGTTCACTATCTATTATGGTTCATCACAACTTCAGATATTTGTGAGTGTAAAAATTGAAAGAATGTGTGAAAAAAATAATAACAACAACAGTAAGAAAAACACATGGACCCATCCGGAAACGAATTGGCCTATTGGTGTCTGCAAATAACATTAAAAATGGTTTATTGAACATCTTGTTTATTCGTTCTGCTGCATCGCCATGTTTTCCATAAACTTTGCGCCTCAGCACACTCACCTTCCCTTTGAAGCACTGCCTTAGCATCTAAAACACTCTTCTGTGACTGTCAGGCAGCTGAGATGATCTTTGACCTTTTACTATTTTAATACACATTCCTAATACATGATGTCTTTTTGCCATTTGAGAAATTTGACAGATAACGTTTAGAAATTATTTATAAGGCTTTTTTTTTCCATCAAAGACCGCAGAGGTCTTTCTTATTTTCTCTCATCTTGCTGATCGTCTCTTCTTAAACCTTAATCCACAAACATCACCTAGAAATCCCCCATCACCACCTTCCAAATAACCTTTTTCTCTCTCTCTTTCTCTGTCTCTCTCTCTCTAATCCTAATTTGCACACAAGAAGTTTGCAAAAGGCCAGCCTGGGCCGAAAGGAAAGAGACCTGGGGGTCAGACGAGGTTATTGGGGAATAACCCTTCATCCAGTCAGGAAAGGATCGTCTGGGTTAGTGATGGAAGTGGTTCCATATCTGATCATAGCCCGAACTTCGCTCTGTCCTACTTCACTTTTTTACGAGAGCGCTCAAAAGAGGCGCTTTAATACATTTCAATAAACTTTATTTAAAAACAAAAACAAAAAAACACTCTCAATGTAGGTTTAATTACAAAAGGGTAACAATTTTATGTATTTGTCTTTATAAACCGCTTGCTTGCCTCGTGGCAGGACGCAAGAAACCATCCGCTCAGGTGCTGTCTGACGCGTAAATATGCGTAAATATGCGTAAATATTTATTTATTTATTTTTATTTATTTTTTTTTACACGTTTTCGGAAGTTTATTTCAAGATATAAAATACCTTCTTGCAAATTTGTGTGAGTAATAGCCCCTGAGTTTCGGGGCGATACGCCCTGATTTAATCACCTTTGCTAAACTTCAAATGACTTCCTAATTACAAATTTAGAGGCCTCATCATTTCCTTTTCGCTGTCATCTACTAATCCTAGCAATCAGCTCTGCGATAGATATCTTAGGTAAACTTTTTTTTTTCATGAGCAGAATTTCGCAGGGATCAGTGTTGCACTTTTCCTATAGGATTAAACTGACCTTCCTCTGCTGCTGAATGGAGGCAGGGGAGCCATCGTTGCCCGGCCCTGAAGGCCCAGGGTGCCCTTTTGATCACTTCAGTCTCTCCTCGGTGCAATACCTCTGATTGGCCAGGGAACTAAGAAGGGGGGAAAATCTTTAATTAAGCAGATAATCTCTTGTTGGGACGAGAGGGCTCCATTTCAGAGCCCCCTCCTTGAATCCCGATAGCTCCTTGTGGAGTTCCGTGCGCTCAGTCTCCCGCATCCCTCCTTCTGTCCGCAGCTGTGCCTCACCTGTCAGGATGTTCGTCCACTGGGAGGTTTTCTTCTACGTTTTTATCCTATTGACTCACATGAGGTCGTACTGCTGCTGGTAAGTTTATTTTACTGTGTAATATTATTATGTCCCCCCCTCCCCCCTCATCCAAATATTCATTTCCATTTAGTGTACTGGAGACATATATGGGTTTTGGATGCCAAAATGACGGAAATTAGATAAAATCATCGATTTATTTAACACGTTTCAATTTCTCAATGGAGCAAGTCCCATAAAGACTAAACACATTGTTTTGGGGTTTGCCAGATTGTAGAATAGGGCATAAAGAAAAAAAAAACAAAAAAACGACAGAGGTCTATATATACTACATAGTTTGTCTACTTTGTAGCTTTTCAGAAACATTATGAGCTAAAATATAATGATGTAATATTGGTTGATCTAGACAAATAAATATTAAGAAGCATATTTTGATTGGTACCTTACATCTGCGATTGCTAATAATTTAGTCCAGGTTGAATAATTTCAGGTCCTGTGCTTTTTGCACTTGCCTCAATCTAATTTGGCCTTAATGCCAAGAAGGCATGACTTCTTTTCATTAGATTTCACAAATAGAATAAAAGTTTCAAACTGATTTTGTGACCTCAAAATCCCTGAAAGAATCTCTGTTTGGTGTTGAGTAATCAGTCTAAGGTCTGACCAGTAAAAGTACTGAAGACTTTAAAGCAGAAATAAAATTCAGTCCAGGCTCCTTAAAAAAAATAAATACAAATTTAATTATTCATTTAATTTCACACAGAATTATAAGCTTCTCACATACCAGCTGCAGTGATAATAAGCAACAAGTCAATTAAATAGAGGCACAAATGAAAAGTAACTTTCACCTCTTCCATTTCAAATTTTTGTACCTCTTGGCGACTCAAGCTTGTGCTGCCCTGAGCGGGAAGCCATGTTCCTGGAACTTAGGATCAAAAACCTTTCCAGTTTTTGATCCTATTTATGCTCCGTAGGATTTGATGAAGTTGTT